CGCGGGACCCCCGCACCCCAGCGCCCCCAAGCAGCAGAAGGAAGGCGGGGGAGGTAGGCGTGCCCCGTCGTCAGATTGGCTGAGGCGGCCGCTATGCGCGCTCCGATTGACTGCGAAAGGCGCCATCTCGAGCGGTGCGGCGGGGCCTGTGGCTTGAGAGGCTGGCTGATGAGGGGAAAGGAGCAGGGCGGGCAAGGCAGGGCCGGGCGGTGCGTTCAGGCTTCCTTGCTGGAAGCCAGAAGGTGATCACTGAGGGGGTATAGCATTTTTTTTTAGAAATTATTGGTTTTTTTCTTAAATATGGCAGCTAATTAGGAGCTGGAGAGCCGGTTAGGCTGCTGTGAGCCGGCCTCAGAGGAACCTCTGTGGACGGACCTACTGAAGTAAATGTATTTGCTCCTCTCTAAAAGTACCTTTCCTCACACTCCATTTAGTGTCTTCTTCATTTTTACAGGTACAGACACCTCAGGTTTGTTTCCTTGGTTGTGCCTTCAGGGTATGCCCTACTTGAGGGATAAGTTTGTATTCCCAACGGCTATAGCCAAATGTTATAAAAATTAAGAGCTCAAGACTTTAATGTTCTATGGCTTAATGACGGTTTTGTTGCATTAATTCTATTAATGTTCTTTTAAAAATACACAGTCACAAATGGGAGGGGAGGAATAAAGGAGTTTCTTTGGTAGTTCAAAATAGATGTGTAGGATGAGGATCCGACAAACAGCAACTTCTTGTGGAAAGGATTTTTTCCCATTTTTCAAAATTTTGAATTGAAAAAGAAAAATTGAAGGCTCCTTCCACTGAAAAAGAACTTTATCAAATGAGAACTAAATTAAAGGAGTCTACATAGTTAGCTTAGGGCACAAGACTTAGATAATTAGTACTGATACAATTAATTTTTGTATAACCTGACATACAAGCTCTACTAAAATGCTTCATTTGAACAAAAGAAATATAGAGAACTATTGCTCCAGCTGATTATTTTTGTAGTTAATTTCTTCTTTTTTTTTTAACAGGAAGTTTTACTTACCAAAATGAGACGCAATCTGGTGTGTCAGACACCTCCCACCGTCACTGTTCATGTAAAATCAAGTACATCCAGATCACATCAGAAAAAAAACCTTATTAGACTAAGGAGGCCTACTTTTAAAGACCATGAAGAAAATTGTGAAAAAAAGGTTCCTAGTCATAAATATAAATGTCCAAAGGGACCATGTCTAGTTATTCAGCGTCAGGAAATGACAGCTTTCTTTAAATTATTTGGTAGGTTAATAATTATAGATAATCAATATATTGACTGAACAGTAGAAAACTATTAAGCAAGTATGTTTTCTAAACTCAATTTCTGGAGTGCATTTTATATAGATACTAATGGTCATGTCTGTCTAAACATATTTTGTTGCTACATTTTAGTGTATAAATATTTAATACTTAAATTAAAAATACAAGAAGGGCTGCCAAACTGAGGAAAAGTATCTTTTCCAATTACAAAGTAAATCAAGGTAGTATACTTCCTTTTATGATCATTTCCCTTTCTATTTTCTCTTATATTCTAGCAGATACGTGTAAAACAATGTACATCTTATTTTACACAAGGCTTAAAGAAGGCTGGATTCCCAGTCTTATATATATGTTATTTTTTTGTGGGAATAAACATTTAAGAGAAGTGGAATGGGAAGAAAAAAATCTGAGGAGTTGTAGCATCTCTTTTGCATTTGTGTCTCTTTCATATCAACTTTTGCATTTATTTAATTTAGTGAAGAGATTAAGTAGTAGTGGAAGATTACACTTGGTTTCTATTTGAATCTTGAACACAGATGTGAATCAGAGATTTTGCGGTAATCCTGTTGTAGTGTATGTTCACAGACAGTGATACACTGACCACAGATCATCAAGCAAGTGTTGCCTTATAAAAGCTGTCAGGTATCAAGGTGGAGGGATCGCAACAGTCTATGGCTAGTTAGAAATAACGTTATGCTAGTAGATGGAACCACTTAACACAGGAAGAAGTTACATAAACAGAAAAAATACTGCTGCTTTTTCACCTTCACGTGCTATTACTGAGAACGAATGAAACACAGACACTTAAATCTTCCACCTTGCCTTTCTGGTAGTTTTCCTTCTTTTGAAAAATTTTTTTCATACCTAATTTCTTTCTCCCCCCAGTTTCTCTGTCCTCTACTGCTGGGTCTAGCTTCTTTCTTTTTATTTGGTTTAATAAGAGGACTATCTGTTATTATTTAAAAATATTTCCTAACAAAAACAATTCTGGTGTTTGAAATGCTACAGCTTTCTTTCATTGCAGATGATGACCTAATCCAAGACTTCCTTTGGATGGATTGTTGCTGTAAGATTGCAGACAAGGTACGTGTATTTCCCTCTTAGCTAATAGAACATATATTGAGTGAAAAATCTGCCCTTAATCACTTCATACTGTAATGCAAATATAGACCATACTTTTTTTCCTAACGTGTTTGTATGGAAGCTTCAAGAAACTCAATTTATGCTTTCCTCATTGATAAAAATGATCAAAATATCTTGGTGCAAGATAAATGTGCAAAGCATTTTAGGAAATTATATACTGAAATAATATATTGATACTTCATTTTACATTTTAAAACAGTATCTCCTGGCAATGACTTTTGTTTATTTCAAGAGGGCTAACTTCACAATAAGTGAGCATACCAGAATCAATTTCTTTGTCGCTCTGTAAGTACTTTTAAATTATCTGGTTTTATTAGCATAAACTTTGCATTAGTTTATTCCTTTGTTTATACCATAGATAATTATGATACATGATGAGACTTCTTTAATGAGTGTGTAGTTGTTTGGGTTCTATATGAAGTATAGTAACATAATCTACAAAGTGCAAATTCAACATTCTTCCTCTGACGACCACCAGTGTGGAACAAGCTTGAGCAGCAGTGAGGGGACATTTGTGTTGGTCTTGTGATACATAGTGTGGCCATTCTACCTACCAAACTGGAAATCTGTGAACCTTTTTAAGCATTACAAGAAATAAATGCGGGACAACACATGACACATATATGTTGTTCACACTTCCTGTTATAAGACCCTACTTTATATCTTTGCCAGCCTTTAAGTCATTTGTAGTGAAAAGTGGGAGGAACTTTTTACTAAAGTCTCTGTCAACATGGCTTGAGTCAACTGTAAACTACTGCTAGAGAACTTCTGAGAACTTTTTTGAACAGTTCTAAAATTTCTATACTTTGAAACAGAGATGCAATAAGGAATCTGTCTTTACCAAGCCTATATAATCTCTCCATATTTGGCTATACCTAGAGTGATTCAGCATTGTCTTTCATAGTGTTACAGTGCTCAGGTCATCTTTTTCTGTAATAGCGCTTCTCAGCTGCTCTGATTTGCACAGTAGGATGGGAGAGACTGCTCTTTCTTCTCCTGTAAATGGTGTTCTGGGTAGCATCCACTGAGCATGGAGGAGAAAGCTGGCTGACTCCACTGAAGGGATAAATGCCAGGCCAGAAGAGCGAGAGGATTAAAGGGACAAATGGTCTGGTGAGACCAGGACTACAAAGAATATTTGGGTTAGGAGCAAGTGAGAAAACTGGGGAGAAAACTGAAAGTCATAATTTTTTCAGGTATGATTTACAGAAGTTTAATATCAGGTGGATCCAGAGGAAGTAACTATTTTCCTGTTGTCTGAGAAGATGACCTAGAACCAAAAGTAGCACATAGTGAAGGGAGAAATACAGACATTTAAAAAGTAATGTAAAGTTTTCATTTATACATGAAGGTAGACCTGTATTTAGTTGATTGCTGCTAACTTAATGTGAGCGACATAATTTCCCAAGAATAGCTAAAATCCATAAAGTAGAAAATGTAAAGTTTAAAATCTTTTAAGATAGTTTTAAGCTTTACTTAGAAAATCAGTCAGAAACTGTTCATTTTAGTGCAACGGTATCTCACCAGTTTGGAGAAAGCTGTCAGGATATGTTAGTTCTTGCTTATCTACCCATTTAGGAGACTTTAGGGTAAAGCAATTTTTATATTAGCTTAAGCTTTTATTTACCCAAAGGATACACACGAAACTTTTTGATTAAGAAAATACTGTACTCATGAGAAAGGCTGTATCCTGTTAGTTTTTCTCAAAATACTGGGAAAAATAACTAATTTAGTATTTTGTCTTTTCATGTTAGAAATTGTACTAATACAGTGATTTAAGGCTGAATAACTTTTACAGACACAAACGTATATATGTTTGAAGGTATCTGGCAAATACAGTTGAAGAAGATGATGAAGAACCGAAGTATGACATTTTTCCATGGGCTTTGGGAAAAGCCTGGAGAAAACTGTTCCCTGAATTCTTAAAGTTAAAAGATCAGCTATGGAGTAGAATGGACTACAGGGCTATTGTAAGCAGACGCTGCTGTGAAGAGGTAGGGAGGGTTTCAGTATTTTAGGTGCTGAAACTACAGTAATTAATACCAGTTAACAATCTAGCTCTATACAAATTCTTCCTAAAGTGCATAGACAACCCACGAGAAAGAAAAGACGTAGCTAAAATGTAATGGTTCATTTATCCTCCATGATTTTTTTTTTCCTGCTGCCTTTAAAACGCATTCTTTGAAACCGCGCTTTTAAGGTAAACTAGAATATTTTGCATTGCACTACTGTTAAAAGTTAAGTTTTTGACTAGAATATTTCTGCTTTATGCAAATATTTTTGTTTAAAATTTACCATCGTTTCACTTAATTAATTTTAGAAATAATTGTGTGTGTGTGTGTGTGTGTGTGTGTGTGTTTGGTTTACAGATTATAAAATCTTCAGATGAAAATTCCAGCACCTCAACTGAAATTTTAATCCCTTAAAAATTAATACTGTAACTTCAGTTAACTTTTTCAGGTGTTTTTTTTAACCACATTTAAAACAAAACAAAACCCAAAACCAACTCAGGACACACTTAACATTCTCTACTACTAATGAAGAGTTACAGCCTAGATTTTCCACACATATTAGGAAGGGAAAAAGGCATTCCTCACTTTTCAGGTGGAATGTGTCATGTTCTAAGAATGTAATGTTTACTTAAGTTGGTGGGAAAGAAAATCTCATTTCCTCTAGAATCCCATTTCTGGGGATGGGATTGGGTGCTTATGGGAAAAGTATAAGGAAGAAGGGAAGTGTAGAATGATTTTCCCAGCACACCCTCCAAGCTTGATTTTAGTAGTTAGTAAAAGACACTATCTTCAGTCCAACATACAAAGCATAAACTGTTATTTGTGATGATGCACATGAATGTACAAGGCTGGAAACTGTTATTTCCACATGTGGTTCATAACTGGTTCACTTACTCATGCCTAAGGTAGCAAACTTCCTGGTGAGACTTAAGTGGATAGATAATAGATGACAGCCGTTTCAGCTCCTTAGTACTCTCTGCCTTAAGTGACTTGGATCCCTCATTTTCAGCTGTATGTTTTCCCATTGTCGTTATGGTTTCCAATGTAATGGCTGTTCTGGTAGGTGATGGCGATTGCTCCAACACATTATATATGGCAGCGAGAACGTTCTATTCACCACAGCAGAGTTGTGAGAAACTACAACAATGATGAAGTACAGCTGCCCCGAGGACCTAGTGCTACTCCTATAGACTGCCTGCTTTGTGGTAAGAAAGGAAGATTTGCACGATTAGGATTATCATCATCTTCCTCCTCATCTACTGGCACTCTGGAGATGATGGAATTAGACTCATCCCAGAATTCGAAGGCCACCTTTCCAACTGAAAAAATGCTTGTTGACTCTCCTTTTTGTTATGGCCAAGGTATGGTTTAATACTGCAAATAACTGTCAATTAATTTAGGCAACTGAGGCCGTATTTACTCTTTAGACTACTGTAGGGACTGCTGTGTCCTTGGTCATATGACAAGACATGAACTCTCCGTGTGAACAGACATCTCTATTACAAATACAGTTCCCTTGACAGAACCATGCTTATGCTGTCATGGTTTCATTTTCACATCTTGTCTCTTGAACTCCTTGGAAGTACCAGCTGCTTTATATTCAGAGTCTCTTCAAATTACCTTCATCTACTATGGTAGATTTTGGGTTGTGTTCCAGTCTATTTAGGCATTTATTATTATTCCTGCTTTACAAATTCAATTGAGAATCGTACTTTAAACACTTAGGATTTGCTAGAAGCAACAGTAAAAATATCAGTGTGTCTCACATGAGTTAAAAGTGTGAGCTATGTGCGTTAAAGTGTTCTTGTTGAGAGCACTGTTTGTAGAAAGGGCAGGCTGCTCAGTTGCTGTCATCAGTTTGGACCTATGTTAAATCACAATTCACATTTTCCCTTAACTGTATCACAATCATTGACAGAGTTTATACAAGGTTCCATTTTAAGACTGGGGCATGAGTGGAGAACAATACAAGAGTTTATTGTGCAAATTACTTTATGTAACTGAATGTTACTCTACTTAAAATAGAAGCCTGAGCCTTTGTATGAGAAGCCTCTATTACATATGACAGTTATGGGGCAAACACTCATTTAATTTATTATTGAGTGGAACACACTTGAGATGTAAACTTCCTGAGGGAGCTGTATAAGGCCTCAGTTCTGCAAAGATACTTTCAAGTGTTTAGCTGCTGCAAAGTTCTAGTATACTTATTTAATAGGATCACAGTTATTTATAGCTCTATTTTTTATTTGCATATGTTCTCACTAATATCCAAATTTTCACTACTATAGCAGGATTGCACTTTTGACAGCTTCAGTACAACTGTGATTCTCAAGGGATCCCTCAACTTTGAAAAATTTGGCATTTGAATCTTCCTTGAGATACAGAACAAGTCAGGTGGCTACAACATGTTATTTAATAAATTTGTTAAACATCACCACCTGCTTATGTGGAGATGCACCTGAGACCCTAAAAGACTTAATTTTAAATCTATTTTTACTTGAGAGATCTTGTTCTTCATATCTGACAGAAGTCAGAAAAAAAGGGGTTTTTTTGACCATCTGAGAATGCTTTATATATAGCAAAGTTCACAAATAACCAGGCAGCTTTCAGCATGGGTGCTGGAAGTGAACCAAAGCTGTACATGTCAACAACTGGTCTTTTTCTTGAAATAAGCACAGCTTTATCAAGAGAACAAATTCAGTGAATTTCAGTTTCTTACAGTTGTGCTTTAAGAACATTGTTCTTAAAGAAACTGATAACCACCAGCTGGTAGCCAGTGAAATCAGAAGCTGCTTCACTTTGCATTTCAAAGGGCAGACTTTGATTCATTATTTTCTTACTCATTTTTTTTTCTCCTTATTTCTCCTAGACTGTCAGAGCCTGTCCAGAAAAAGAAGAAGAGATAACACCTTAAACAAAGACAAATCCATGGATTAGTTTACAAGCAATGAAGAATGAAATACACCTGATGAGACAGAAATACACTGTGTGTTTTTTGGAGCAATCTGTGTTCCATCACCATTCTTGACGATTCTGTTAAAACTTTTCCCTTTAAATAGCAGGTGGGTTTTCAAACTTTACAAGCAGTAGAAATCAAAGCAGTCATTGCTTAAAAGTTACACAACTTGCAAAATGTAGCAGCTACTTTTTAATATTTTATTTTATCCTGATACAATATTCAAATTAGCAGCTAACAGTTTCTCAGCAGCATCAAGAAACCAGTGGTCGAAACTTTCTCAGCTTGGTAAGGAATGCTAATTAAAAAAACAAAACAAGTTACTACTTCAGTATTTCAATATACAATGATTATAAGTTTTATGATTTAATGATATAGTAACATGTCAAATGCTAGTACAAAAAGACAGTATTTTTGAAAATAAAATACCACTAAACATTTATGGTAAATAAATAAATAAATTCCAAGCATCTCACCTGAATGAGCATCCTGCAAATAAGATGGTTTGGCAACGTAAGGCACCGAGCAGTATGTTTCAGCATCAACAGAAAGTGATTCTGTGAGAAGTAAATTAAAAAAAAATATTTCCAATGAGTTTTAATCATACATGCAGTCAGCAATTGCCAATGCACATGGATTATTTATCTCTGACATATTTTCATTTTGCTTCTGTTAAACTGCTTTGTTGTCACCTATCAGTACATTCAGACCTCTTTGCTTTACTATGGAAGCAGCCACAGGGCAAGTATAGGGGACTGAATTTTATAGAAGGAAGAAAAAAATAAATAAATTTTAAAACAGTAGTAGAAGGGCACTCATTCTTTACTTGCAAGTTGCAATTTATTGTTGTCCAGATTTGTAATAAAATATTTAAAATTAAATAACCATTAATATGTTCTTTTTCAAATCAGACAAGGTCTAGGCTATCCAAAAGCTTGTCTATTTTTCACAACAATCTCAGCTGACATAAAAAATACTGCCTCTTCCTACAAACTTTGCCTTTCTTGTATCCTTGGATTATCAAATGGCAGTAACAGGATTTCTCAACAGCTGTAATGTTCTTACCATTGTATGCACTTTCTTTAAGAACTACTTGATCCTCAATGTGGATTTCTTTGTATTCCTGTTGAGGTGGTTCTTCAGTATTTTCTTGAGTTTCCACCACTTGGCTTGATTTGCAGTTCTTGATTTTAGCACGGTGTACTGACCAGTTTCTATGAGTTACCTCCATGATCCTTTCACACAAAAAAGGGAGCTTGCAGGTCCATATTCTGTCTAAAAGGTCAATAACCTGTGTGATGCTTTTGAAAAAATGTAAAGGATAAAGTAGTATTTTGAAAACTCAAACGATACACTGCTAATGTCAATTCTACTGCCTTTGTCACATTTTTTACTTTTGAGGTTACAAGAGTCCTTCAATTTTAGTGTAAAGGAGCTAGCAACCTGACTACCAAATTGGAAAACAGTACAGTTATTGTAAGGATGTCATCAAGTGAAAACTTCCACTGACCATAATGAGAACATTCCCAAAGGAAAGGCAAAAGGATTTGGCTGAGTGTAATTTACACTGAGTGCCACTCCTTAAAAAACATTACGTGAAGAAAAAAAAATAATTTTTCAAACATTTATTTAATGTCAGATATATATTTTAAAAGATGTTTGGTTTTATAACAATGTCAGGCAATGCCTGAATAAATGTGTATGTGCCAGAAATAAATACTTACTTTGCTAAATACACAGCGCACACACCACCTTGTTTCAGACTTGGCTGTACAACAGGCAGAGCAGACTGAGGGTCAAGCATATCCAGAACTACCTGCAGGATAAAGACACATGTTCTCCCAGTAAATATTACTATGTCTATAATTTTTTTCCATAACAACAATGCTTAAAAAAAAAAAGTTTATTTATGGAAAATGAATTCATAGAACAGCAGTATGTAATCACAAACCATGAAAGGTTTTGCCTCTTAAGACCTTAGAGAAACCTGATATCCGTACATTTACAAAACAAAGTCCTTGCTACTTCCAAACGAATTTCTATTAAAACAGCAAGTAGCATTTCACTAGAGCAGTAGTCCTGTGTTAATGTTAAACCTCCTACTAATTAAATTCCATAATGTTTACATTAATAAAAACTTTTAGAAGGCTACATTTACTAATGCTTTTGGATACTTAGTTTCAAATGTTAAAAACCCAAATGTTCAAGTGCATCTTTATCATTAAAAGATCACTCTACAGTCTCAATGTCTAACTTCCTGTTTGTTTCAAGATTTAGAAAACTTCTGTCTTTGGCAATTTATCCATCTTCTGCTAGAAAACTATTCAAACTGTAAAACAATGGGATATGCAATATCTGATCCTTCCAGTGCACTGGTACCTTTAAAGTTTGAAAAATGATATTTTTATGCTATATATTTTATTTCTTTGCTCAAACTCTTTAACACAATTGTTGTTTGTCTAAAGCTTTACTGCAGGTAGTTTGTCTGCTTTACATGGAAGAGTGGTTAACATCTAGCTGTTTTCCCCAGCACACCTCCCTTCACAAAATCTGGTTATAAAAAGCAGGACAGGAGAGCAAGCAATAGCCTTCCTTACTCTAACTTAGCCCTTTGCTACATTGTGCGTTCTATATAGCCGATAGCAAAGTGTGCACATATGTGTATTTTCAGTAAGCTTATGTAGTTTTCTTTATGTTTCAAATATATGCCTTAGATACAAAAATATAAATTTCTCCAAAATACAAGAAAGTAGGTTTGTCTTTGCTTGCAAGACAGTAGTGATTAATTGTAGTATTTCTGCACTGCAGCCACATCACTCTTTCATTTGGGAACTCTAACTGAAACCTTGAAAACACCTGTAATCCAACAAGAAAAATCACAACGTTTCGTTCCATTGATGAGGATCTGAAAGTATTTTCTCATGTTAAATTAGAGATGGTAATCCCATTGTGAGTTTGAGCACTAGAGGTTTCAATTTATGCAGAAATGTCAAATGGGGGGATTTCTTGGACTTACTGCATCAAGTGTTACAGATTTCATATCCACAGCAGCTGTCAAAATGTCTTTAAGAATGAAATCCACATTATCTGGCCACTCTACCATATGTCCTATTTCCCATGCAGCACGCCAGTGCCTGTAATTCTTCTTAGCTAAATTATGATGATCATCTCTGATTTCATAACTTATAACACGTCCTTTGGGCCCAACTGAAAACAAACAAAAGATACCATACTTGTTACTTTCCCCCACATAATAAAGAATTTAGAAAAAAAGTAGCATAGCAAATGACAGAAGTACACCTTTAAATCTCAACTTCACTTTAGTAAATATTCACATATGAAACAATCAATTACAGTTTATTTTTTATTTACATTAAACCCATATATGCAGATAAAGTGCTAGGTTAGTTCTTTTACAGACTGAAATCTATCAATCCATCGATTAAATGAAGCATAGTTATATTACAAACTGTCACTAACCCAAAGTAACTCCTGCAGCAAAAGATGACTTGAGCATCTGTGGCCCTATCAGTCTACGTTGATTCTGCTACAGCATCCAGCAGTACCAGCTGAGAGAGCTGCCACTGGCCACTACTCACAGATGCTATAAAGCTGATGGATTGTGACTGCTTCTTTTGTTGGCAAGATTTGAAACTGCTGGTGTTAAACTTTTTTGACAATCCTCATTTTTACAAAGGTTTACCGTTTTCCATGCATAGTTCTTTCTCCACCTGTCCCTTCTTAAGGTTGGGGAAAGGCTAAGAATACCCCCATACCTGATCTCAGCCCCTTAGACAAGTTTTCAAGTGTACTCTGATTTACACAAGCTTGTGCTGTTTTCTTGTTATTGTCTAGAGCTGTAATATATAATTTACCGTATGTGTTGTATACACAATGTTCTTTATAAAGGAAATGTTGCAAGGCAATCTAGGCACAGACACCAGCGTGTGCATTGCTGTACTCTGTTCTTGTATTATTCTGATTTCTCAAACCTATCACACCATCAGTGTCTCTTTCTCCTTGCTACTTTTTAATGGGCTTTTAGCCATCAGCAGCTCAGTGACTTTTAAAGCCATTTTAGGTTGGAGTTGCCAGGCTCCTTCCCTCACCTGTGTGATCCCACTGTGAATCCATTCAGAAAATGTAACAAAAGAAGGAATGGGTTTCCCGGAAGTCTCTCCCTGATTGATCTCACCCTGGATCAGACAGAGGTCAATGCCAACATAAAAGGAGGGAAGGGTTTCAGCAGTGTCACCTTTGGTCATCTTAGAACAGTTGTAGAATCGCAGCATCAACTCCTTATTACTCGATATTATCAGTTTGGAATTGGAAGAATAAAATTGTTCACACTGGGGGCGGTCTTATTCCTTTCTTTGCTCATTCCAGAAATTTCCTGCTTTTGAAATTGCATTCTCGAAAAATTAGGACAAAGAGTTAAAGTAGCTAGGCAAAACTCTTCATTATTATGATGCTGCAGTATGTCGAATTTGCATACATCATATTTTCCAGTTCTCAGAGACCCTAAAGTCATGGCAAATGCCACATTCTTAAGAGTCTTAACTTTGTCCTGTTGCACATCAGTAGTTTCTGGGAAAGATTAAAGGAGGAATGGAAAATACAACATAAAATGAGAGTAACACGAGAGAGGAGATTAAGGAAATCTGTTAAATCAATGAGAATTTTGGAAATTAAATACTCCCATGGACCTTGGTAATGGTACATTAAATTACAGCATTTACCTGTATAGTAGCTGTTTTTCTTGTTGGGCATCACTGTATTAAATGGTGGCAAAATTAGCCACTATTAGGAAAGAGAAAATCAAATCTATTTGTTTCTGGGTCAGCGTCAAATTGTTAAGCTGTGACTAACACTGTCCGTATTTGGGGCCAATTTAAGTTCAACAAATTTGAAAATAGCAGTACAATCTCATAGCTTTCTCCTCCTCAAGATACAAATGAACTGCTTTCTTCCCATGGATAGG